TCGCTCGCTCCCTTTCTCTCCCTCTCCGCTCTCGGTTATTTTATTCACTCCGCGCGTGGGTTGTCCAGCGAGACGATCGACCGCTCGATCGCCTCTCACCCCGGCGGTTTTCCTCGTCCTCGGGAAGGACGAGGGAATAATGTACGCGGACCGGGTGGGCGGGCGGACGACGCACACACGCGAGGATATTTCACTCCGGGTGATTTGCGCGATTAGATCCGCTCGCGGTCGACGGAGTTTCAGATATATGTACGCGCGCCGCGATTAGGCCAAAGTTCAGGCCGCGTTGGAGAAAAACGAAGAAGCGAGAGGCCGCGATGAGCGCGCCGCGATAAGCGCCGGCGGGATCGCGCGTTGTCCCTTATCGCTCGTTACTTTGCGACGCGCGATAAAATCATCGATCATCGTGATCATCGCGGAATAGGCGGAGGCCGACCGGAGGAAACGACCGTTACCAATCCGCTTTATGATTGACATATCGGCAGACACCGCCGCGACAGGGATGACGGAGAGATGAGAATTGCACAGCTGACGATTCCGCTGGAGATTCCTCTTGGCGCTCTCGGCGAGAGTCCGCTTCGTCGTCGTCTCTCTCTCTCTCTCTCTCTCTCTCTCTCCGCCGCCGCGTCGTCGAAACCGCGCGTAGCCTCGATTAGGTGCACGCGGAAGCGTGGCTGGTAAAGCGTAATTATTTCCCCACCCCCTCTCCCTCCTCCTCCTTCTGCACCTGAGTTTCCTCTTTTTTTTCTTTCCCAGCGGTCCCCCTTTTTCTTCTCTCTTCTCTAATCGACGTTCGACGGCTGAACGCGCGGGCGTTATATAAATTCGAGATTATTTCGGTCCGGAATTGTATTTGGCGACGCGCCAAGCGGCAGGGGTTGGACTAACTGCACTAATAACGCGGCACGACACGCACACCGGCTGTGTGTGTTGCATAACAGGTAGCCGAAGCGGAGGGCGGTGTTTGTGTGGCTACGACTACGCCGATTACGATGATGACGACGCTAACGACGAGGAGGAGGTGGACGACGTCGAAGCGCGCCGAAGCGGGCCGCGCACGTTGGTCGGCTCGGTGTAATGATCGCACGGCTCGTTATTATGTAAATTGCATTAACAGCAGCAGCAGCACGCCCTATTTCGTTGCTGCCGCCGCGCCGTAAGTGAGGTCTCCATCGCGTAGAGTAGCGAGGGACGAAGACAGGATCTTCTATTTCGCGTGTGTGTGTGAGAGATAGAAAGAGAGCGTTCTACCCTCGCTTGCCTCTTCTCGTTCACCCCGGCTGGCCATGAGGGAAAGAATCCGGGATCGATGAATTCGTCCGGACATTTCGCACGGAAGAAACAGTTCCGTCGGTGTGACTGAATCTTCCGTTTCGCCGTCGGGGACGGGAGAATCCGCAGGACGATCCTGCAGGAGGCTCCCACTCGGCCGATTCTCGCGTAGAAAGTTGCTTGTGCAGTGAAAAATCTCGTGTTAAAAATCTCGCGTCACCTTAACACGGGGAATGCGTGAAGAATGACACAAATATGTGTGTGGAAAAGTATAGAAATATAATGTGAAATTAATGCATTGAAAAAAATTGCCACACTCGAGTAAATATTTGCCAAGGAGTGTTGGAGCAATTTATTTCACTTGGATTAAGTAAATATTACTTGAATGCAGCACTTTTTCTCTCTCAGTGTGCTACATTCAAGTGATATTTACTTAATCCAAATAAAAATAAACTACTCGGATACTTCTTGGTAAATATTTACTTGGACGTAACAATTTGTTCCTTCAGTGCGCATTCAACGTGTTGACAAAGTGAATGTGTTAATTTAACATTATATTTATGTGCTTCTCAACACATCCCCCGTGTTAAAGTAACACGAAATTCCAGTGGGTCGTTTCTAACACCAAATTTCTTACTATGTGGGATCTAATTGGGATCTTCGGTCCGATTTTCCGAAATAATTACGGGCGCCGGTCGGGAAATCTCTTAAGCAGCTTCTGGTTAGAAGTGCAATGTTTCAAGTACACGATTCTAAGTGGAAAACATAAAAAGGTCCTACCTGGTCACCCCCAAGGTTTCTTCAAGGATTCTTCTGCATTCCATTTTACACTGCGATTGAAGAAAATATACGAAATAAAAGATACGGCATATTTCACGTTTTTACACTTTACAAGTACAGTCAGTCATAAAAAGAAGTCGTGACACTTTTTTTCTCGATGAGTTTCGCAACGCATGTCACATCGAACATGAAAACATTTTCATCTCCCGAAAACCACTAAAAAACAAATTCTTCTGTCGGACATGCGATGCGTTCCGAAACTGATAAAAAAAGAAGTATTGCGAGAACTTTCTATCCACGACTGCACATATAAATTCGAAATTAATAACAAGAGAATTCGTTTTCTAGTTATTTCCTGGAGATACATTTTCTCATTGAATCAGAGACACGTTGCGGAACTCATCGAAGAAAAAGAAGAGTTGCAACCGGTCCGCGACTGTGAACATGTGAAAGGCTAAAAACTGTGTAACATTGAACAGTTTCAACTTAGGGAACGGTACAGTCGGCGGGCAATAATTGCGACCATTTTTCCCCGATGAGTTTCGCAACGCGTAATCGTATCCAATGGAAGTAAATATATTTCTCGAAAATTACTGAAAAACGAATTCACCCATTAGACACGTGAACTCGTGAAACTCGTCCGACCAATAATGTTGCAACTATTTATTTACCGACTTCGCACGCGGCAAAAAGACTTCGTCTCGTGTTTGGGGTAAGAATGGGATTCCCAATTGGTGCACAGCAGTGGGATAACCTGTTTTGAGGCAACTTTCTAGTATTTATTCGAACTTCAGGATCTAAGCTGTATCGGGGAAAATCTGGAAAAATTTCTACACGTGTTGCGCTCTCGGTCGCCTCGACCGAGTTTTAACTGAATGTTTCGCAGCAGGAACGCGCGTTTTTCAGTAACAGCGGCAACAGAGATATCGTTTCCTGTCACCAGGTTTTCATCACTTGCCACCGAAGTCTTCATCTGGTTTCTATTCGGTCGGAGGTTTTTTTCCGCGCGCGAAAGCGCGCCGATACGTCATCGTTGGACGTGGGGAACGCGTCGAGGAATGCATAATTCGTCCGAGCGACGATGTATGTTGCGGCGAATAAATTCAGAACGCGTGCGTGCGTACGTGCGTGCGTGCACGCGTTCGCTTCCCGAGCGGGAAGATGCAGAACGAAGCGGACGTGCGCATTCCGCGCACTTCGCGCGATCGATCTGTTTCTCGTTCTCCTCGGGGGCTAGCTTGTTTTCGCGCGTTCGCATATAAATGCCGAGTGTGTATTCTCAAGGCCGGTGTGTACAAGCAACGCCGAGTTTGCTAGCAACGTTGTTGTTACCATCGAGTTATCATGAAGTAAAGTCTCCTTTTTTCGACAACGAGTTTCGGTAACAGCGTTATGTGTCGTTAATTGTCGTCGTTAGTGACGACAGCGCGATCACGATAACGTGATTATATTTCTCGGCCATCGGTGACGAATGTAATCGTTACTTCGTACATGTAGATTCCGTTTACATAAGGTGAGAAATGGATTATTATTTTTAGAAAGTAACTTCCCGAACAACCCGCTCGAAGAATAATAATCATTTGCTGACACGGCAAATTTTATGCCGTCGCAGCGAGCTATCAGTTACTATCAGCCAATTATGTGGACAGCGAAACGACTCGTTCGGAGTACCAATTGCCATTCGCTGGATTATTTTACCGCGAGAATAAGTTAGCAAAACACACTGTTTCGTTCTAACAGCGTTATTAACGTGTCCTAAGGGCCAATTCACTCTACAGAATATCATTTATTCTGGCAGTAAAGAACTGTTTCTGCTCGAATTACGAATAATTCGTTGATTTGGTCAAGCGAACTAAATTTTATCGTCGCAACGAATATGCAGCAGCGACGATGTGCTCTCGCTACAATAGCAACATTTTTTCCCCTCCTTGTGGATGTTTCGCGTGTAAAAGTTGCTTCCTTTAGCGTCCGGTACGAATAACGTTGGTCACACAACGTTAGTCACACAAAGCAAACTACATTTACAAAATTGCTCAAATTTCACCGGGGACAGCAAAATGCGACTTTTTCCCCCAGCCAGAACAGCGTTTTCTCATAAGCGTTTAATCCTGTGTGGAATATTGAATTACAAAAAAAAAAAAAAGGGAAAAAATCCGTACACGACTCGGTTCCAGACTTGTCGGCCGACACAATTGTCCGGCGGGGTTCGCGCCGCTGTCATCGAAAATAAAAGGCTTGTGAAAGGTACGAGAGGTGGATGTGTCGGGAGGAGGGGTGGCGAACGAAACAATAAATATGAAAGAACTAGCGGGGTGAAGGGGGACGGGTGTGTCGGCGCGTGTTCTCTACACGCGTAACGTGGATAATACGCGCGATGTAACGAGAGGGAGAGTTCGAGAACGAATCGAGATGTCGTACACGAAGTGTACGTGAATGAGCGAAGCGTGATGTGACAGAATACCGGTACACACACACACACACGCACACACGCACGCAATGCGCGCACAAGGAGATGACACGAGCACACACCGGCAAAACGACAGCGGCAATGACGATGATCACGGCGATGATCAGTGCGCTAACTCTCGTGTTGTGCTCGACGACGACGACGATGACGACGACGGTGATGATGATAATGATAGCCGCGCGTCATTCCGACTTGATATGCTCCGCGCTCCGAACGTTGGAAATGATAAGAGAAGACGGAGGCGTCATTGAGAATGACGATTGTGTCTTGCGATTATGCGCTAATTCTGTTTTCTTTTCCTTTTTTTTTTTGTGACGAAAGTGCTGTGGTGTACGTTGTATGGTATACATCTTTCGGGCGCACGGGTGGACGGACGGTGACATCCGCGTGACAGAGAGAGAGAGAGAGAGAGAGAGAGATAGAAAGAAAGATAGAGAGAGAGAGAAAGAGTGAACAGAAAACAGAGTTACAGACAACTTACGGGTATAGGTCATTTGGCCCTGGTAGTAAGAAGGAAGGTACACGTGTTGCGCGTGCGGAGGCTGCCCGTACACATTCATGGCTGCGGTGCCGATTTCATCACCACCTACATCGAGTACGCCGTCGTGGTAAGGTCATGGTTTCGATCAGAAACGCTAGTTTTCGCACCATATACACTGTGTCTAAGTTTCGCTATCACTGGGTTGTTTAATTGTGCAAGAATGGCAAGAAGTACGACGGCAGCTGGGTACACAATACACCGGGGTGTATTCGATTAGCGAGCGAGAGAGATGCTTTATCTTACGTTAGCTTGCTCCCGGTTACTCCCGGCAGGCGCAAAACCGCACGCACGCAGGACGAGAGCCGCCTATCTCCGGCGTCTATAAGCGCGTAATACACGACGCAAGCTTCTACCGCTTTTCTGTCGCGCGAGATCAACCCGACGGATAATGCCCGCGTTAGAAGTGGACGTATCTCGGTGTCCCTATTGTGGGGAATAAATGCTGCCGTGCTTGTAAATAGCGACCTGAACCTTCAGGATCCGCGAACGGTCGCGCGAGAACCCCCAAGTGTACTCTCGAAATTTCTCGGAGGGGAACCTCTCACTCGAAACAAGAAGAGCGGCGGTATTTTCACGTGGAAGCGACAGTGAAAATCTCGCTGCTCGAAGTCGCAACGGTGAAGCGAGCGAGAGCGGATTCTGACTCCGTAATGTGTGAATTCGTTTTCCCCGCGACGGTGGAATACGTTAGATTTTTCGCTCCTCAGTTTCGAGTGAAAATATCCACCCGACGATTCGGAGCGGAGAATTTATTCCATACGAGCGGTTACCCGGGAGTCCGAGCGACACGGTGCGTCACTCTCTGCTTCACGAATGAGATTTCACCCCGAGAAATTTGGAGAGTGCTCGATCAATTTCTTGGAATGGAATCTCGCTCGAAGTGAATGGAAAGTGACGGTATTTTTCCTGGGGGTGAAAATACCGTTGCTCGAGATCGCGAAAGTGAACGTTTCGCACAAGTTTGGGGCGGATTCCGGCTCCAGACGTGTGAACGTTTCAATCGATCAAAGGGGATTCGGTTCCCGTGGAATACGTCAGATTCGATCTTCAGTTTCGAGTGGAAGATCACACACCCAGTCACTTCGCTTTTCGAATGGGACTTCGCTCCAAGAAATTCAGAGAATACCTCCGCCGCGAGTCTCTCGGGATCTCGATTCGTCTCGCGGGTGAACCTGCGACACCGAATTCCGCGAGCTCCTGTCGAATATTGACCAAAAATCTCTCGAATTTACGCGATCATTTTTTTTCTACCATTCACCGTTGCGTATCTGCAAATCGTGCGCCGGCTGATCGCGCGTTTCGTCCGAGTGAGACCCGAGTACGAGACAACAACCCAGTGAGTATCGGCTAAAGTGCATGCTCTTGCGAAATGAAGGTAAACATAAGACGCAACAGTCAAGCAAATAATAATTCCATCGATAGCATATCCGATCCGGCCGTTCGTCGATCTCTCGGACCTCTCGAACTAAAAGAAGGCCTGGAGAAGGGGAAGGCCCCTAATCGATAGCACACGCCGGTATACACACTTTCTTCCCCGACTGAGAAATTTCTCGCTCTAACCGTCCCCGCTACGTCACGCGTTCTGCTCCATATATATTACACATATATCGCCTGTGTGATCATGTAGGATCGGAAGAGGACACGATTATACTTCCTATCGGAAACTCTACAACGTTCTTCGGTTTCCACATGCTGGCGTTGATGGCCGGTATCGTCATGCGCATCATCGGTACGCGGGCATGCACGTGGTGAGGAGGAGAAGGGGGGGGGGGGAGCTGCATCGCTCTCAGAGAGCCTATCGCTGCTAATCGAGTATCTCTACATAATCCTCGACGATGCACCGTGTCGCTCGTTACGTCCTACTTTGTCATCAATCTTATGCCCCTCGCGATTTTCACTTCTATGCACAACGAGAGACTCGCATTACAGCCCGTCCTGCTTACAATATTAATTCTTGGCGTATACTTCTAGTTCGTCTCTCTACCGAAAGAGAGAGGGGGAAGAGGAGGGGGGGGGGGGNGGGGGGGGGGGAGAAAGAGAAAAAGAGACTCATCGCACTGGTATCTAGCCTACTTCGATTACGCTGCGTGCGTTGCGATAATACTGGCTATGGTAATAATGGCGCACAAGAAGTAACATTGTTTCATACTCGACGGGGTAGAGTTCCTTCTTGGAAGGAAGAGGGAGGGGGGAAAAAAAGAAAGAAGAGAGATCGAGACTATAAATAAAAGGATTAATTGATTAGAACAGTATCGTCTAACTGCGCCGTTCGTCAGCTGAAGCGAAAGCCCTACTGCTCCTGTGTATTACGCTACTCTGTTATCGGCTCTCGATCTCTCGCAAGGTACTGGTACTCCTACGCCGCTTCAACGTAAAGGACCTATCACGCAAGGCGACTACGTAATTATGCTAAGCGACAGAAGCTGTCCGATATTCACGAAAAACGCGGCGATATCGGAGACTACGGCAGCGATGTCGCCCGATTCAGTCTCTCTCTCTCTCTCTCTCTCTCTCTCTCTCTCTTGCCGGCGTCCTTCCGATATCATCCGAGTCTTCGTCAATAAATCGCGCAGCGGACAGGCAATAGAAAGCAGCGATAGAAAAGAAGGTAACAGGTGCGCCAGCGTGGTCGAATACGAGTGTACTCACCCCCTTCGTCCTCGCTGTCGCTCATGAAGGTCTCCTGCATGGACTCGGGCGCTTGCACACGGTACTTCTCCTCGATGGTGACGGTGTGAGTGGTCGTGATGATGGTCTCGGTGACGACCTTCAGTGTCTCGATGACGCTGATGTAGCCGAGCTTTTGCGCGATGTCCAGAGCAGTCTGCCCGTTCTGTGGAACACACAACGTTTTGTTTGTATCGTGCGACGTCGATCCCATCGGCAGATCCCGATGTGAGATTCTCGCAGGTCAAGTCGGTGTGTCGCGGAACTCCAGAGAAAAAAAAATCCAGATAACATTCTTCGTGCCCAGACAGACATTCAGGAATAGCGTTTTGGTGTTCTTTCTGAATTGCCGGTTGAAAGGAACGAACGTGCGTTTAGTACACGATCAAACGTGTACCTTCCCACAAGTAGTATTAATATTAATCACGTGAATATTCGAAATGGAATGGACCGGCAAGGATGTTCGAGAGGCAACGTAATGATGCGCCTAATTCGGAATTCCTGATATCACTGTGCCTGCGAAGTAGGACAACCTAATCAACTATATATGCAAACAGGATTGTTTGCCTTTTTAATTAGATTAATGGTATTTTACACGCACAGTGAACGAAGAATTCTACGAACATTCTTCTCCATTTTGAATATACGAATCTCTGCCCACGATATTTTTCACATACATTCATAGAATATCCGATTCGAATATTCCGGTATCGAGGACATTCGTACATTAAGAATATTCATGTAACATCCTGGGAAATCACTCACGTTGGTCACAGCGTTCGGCTTGGCTTTGCTCTCCAAAAGCAGATTGATGACCAGGGTGTGTCCTTGCTGCGCGGCCTGGTGAAGAGGAGTGTAGCCGGCATTGGTGCTGCTGTCGACCTCTGCGCCGGATCTCAGGAGGAACCGCACCATGGCTGCTTGGCCGAAGTGCGACGCCACGTGCAACGGCGTGTACCCAGCCTGGAAGAGGACACGCGTGCATTTCTGCGATGCTCGACTTCGCTCGCTTTGCGTATTGTTCCGTTCTGCTCAGAATCTCCCACGGAGAAACCCCGATGATGCCTTCCGGTTAGGGTATTTATTCCGGGCGCATCGTGTCAACGTATTTTTGTACCGTGACTGGCTTGCTTTTGAGAAGATTCGGCGACCCGGTCGCACTAAGTACGATAGTAAGTACATGTATGCGTTCACTGTGTATATTGTATGTACGATGTTGGCGTTCCACAACCCTTTCAGGGCCTATTCAAAAATGTCTCTCCCATCTAAGCCCCGGCTCACAATAGGTGTTTTAAGCCTTAAGAAATGGCCAATCACAGTCGATTATTCTCACATTCGGCTGTGATTAGTCACTTCCTAAGGCTTAGGGCTTTAAGCATCTATTGTAGATGCTGGGACTAACGTTCGTTTCCGCCATCCTTTCAACACCTATGTTGTTCATATCGTCGTCAAAGTTGTCCAAGAAACGCAGTCTGGGCCTTCCCCTCCCTCGATATCCTTGACTGATTCAAGGGAGTTTCTCTTGTTAAGTCATTCACCTTCATCCCCGTTTACACGTCCTACCCACCTTAGACGATTTTTTTCGACGGTCTTAACTGTATCAAAGTATCTCCAGACGCACAGCTTCAAATTGTAGTCTCTTCTCCATAGTCCGTTATCGTTTACTGCTCCTACTAGATTTTTCTCAATACTTTCCTCTCAAAGCAATTTAACGCTGTTTCATCCCTTTTCGTGAGAATACCGATCTAATCGCCATTATTATTACATTTGACGGGACTAAGTTGCCGATTCTTCTAAGAAACAAGCCCAACAGTCACAATACGAAAATATGCAGCCACGATGCGCCGGAGTCGAAGTACCCCGGCCGGAAGTGGAGAAAGCATTATTGGATTATTCTCTGTACTGTTTTGCGCATCTCCTGGTCGATGGCGACGATGGATCGGGACGAACGGCAGTCGCGTAACTACGTCGCGTAGGTGGACGAGCATTTCATGTTATCAATAGTCACAGAGCAACAAACAATTTTACTCGCTAGGATTATGTCGGCAGCGATAATTCAATTATGCACAGGACGCTAACGTCGTAAACGAAGACAGGGCGTCGTTGACATCGCTGCGTTCACGACGCATTCCTGACTATCCGCGCGATTGCACGTACGAGTCTCTCTCTCACGGGAAAGTTACCGAATTACACGTCGCGTGTTACCTTGGTCTTAGCGTCGATCTGAGCACCATTCTTCACGAGAATGGAGGCGACGTTCACCTTGTCTTCTTGTGCGCATAGATGCAAAGGCGTAAGGCCATTCTGCAAAGATAATACACACATACACGTCGATAACTTGAACACGTAAACAGATTTAATTAAACGTATAGGTCTTTGTGACAGCACGAGCATTGCGATAAAAGTAAAATAAAACTGTTACCGAGGATCGTATCGTGTTCTTCTCCCTCACCCACCTTTGCTTTGTGATTCGTGTCCGCCTTATGCTCGATAAGAAGAGTTGACATATCAGTGTGGCCTTCTTGTGCACTCAAATGTAACGGTGTGAAACCAGCCTTTGATTCCGCATTGGCTTTTGCTCCGTACTCCAACAAAGTAGTTGCGATGTCCATCTAAATCACAGGTGAGAAATAGCAGTTTAGTTCCTGTTTTTTTTTTTCTTTCCTTTTCTCTTTCACTTCAGTCACCACTCGTGTTCACTCGTCAATAATCGAAGTCGGCCGGATCTGTGTACCTGATTCTTGCGTGCGGCAATATGCAACGGTGTGTGTCCGTTTTTAGCCATGGCATGAGGCGAGGCTCCTTTATCGAGTAAAAGTAGAGCCACGTTCTGATGATCGTAATGGGACGCTACGTGAAGAGGCGTCACCCCGTTCTGCGTTCGAGAAGCAGGAAGAAACGTTTACGGTAAACTCCCTCCGATAATTCACTCTTACGTCTCCCAAATAATTCTAACGATATTTCTAATACCTCACTCACTTTACACACCTATTGCAAATTCATTCCAACAGTCCTCTAATAATTCGCTTAACACATCTTGCAGGAGAACTTTAACGATCCTCTAACAATGCATCTTACGCGTTGCAGAATAATTCTAAAAGGTTCCCTAATAACTCACTTTATACCTTGCGAAATAACAGTAACCATTCTCTAATAATTCACTCGTACGTCTTGCAAAAGAGTTCTAGCAATTTTCTAACAATTCATTTAACGTCTTGTAAAGTAACGAACAATTCTCTGATAATTCACCTTGCATTTTGCGGGAACAAAACTCAGAGGAAGGAAGGGTACTTACCTTTCCTTGAGCGTCAACGGGCGCGTTCTTCTGCAACAAAAGTCGCGCTACGTTCATGTTGCCGTACTTGGCCGCCAAATGCAAGGGGGTGAATCCTTTCTTGGTCGTAGCGGTAAGCGACGCGCTGTTCTCTAATAATACGGATGCGACCTGCGTGTACGTTGGGGAAGAACGCATGATTAAATCGCACGTATGTCGCAGTGTCAGATGTTGACGCGTTATTGCAACCCCCTCACCTCCTCCTGGCCCTCTTTAGCAGCGATATGAAGCGGAGTATATAAATCCTTCGTTGTAGCATCTACCCCCGCGCCGTGTTGCAGCAGAAGCATCACGATGTCGACGTTGCCCAAGCGGGAAGCGACGTGAAGCGGCGTCTGTTCCTCCTGCGGGCGATTCGATTTCTTCGATTAAATCGACGCCGTTTAAACAGCAAACGCCTGTCGGAGTATCGAGTTGTCGCGAGTGATCGCTCGAATGAAAAACACGATACTCACTCTCGCTCGAGCGTCGACTTGGGCGCCGTTCCTAAGAAGTATTCTAATAATATCAGTTTGGTTCGCTCTGGCAGCTAGGTGTAATGGCGTTTCGCCTCTCACTGTCGGTATGTCGGGGCTGGCTTCGTGTTGCAGCAAGTATATCACGATATTCATGCACCCCATGAAACTCGCCACGTGCAGCGGGGTTAATCCAGACTGCGAAGAGAAACGAGAACACGCACGTAACACGTAAGACTCTTCGCGATGATCGTCGTGGGACGTTTCAACGTGAGAGAGAAGAGAATACTTGATTTGGCTCCCGAGTTACTCCCAGTTTCAAGTCATTCCTCATTCTGAAGAAGCGAACTTGAAATGTTGACGAAACATGTCGGGGAAACAAGCGCGGGTTAACCCGAGAGCCAAATTAAATGAGATTGAGAGAGAAGGAAATTCGACAGGTTCACACCTCAGTCGTAGCTTCGATGCTAGCTTTGTGCTTCAGGAGGAGCTCCACCACCTTTATTCGATTCTTCTTACACGCGATATGAAGCGGGGTGAATCCGTTGAGGGCCCGCGCGTTGGGATCGGCGTTCCTGTCCAGGAGCAGTTTGGCCACCCGCACGTGGCCGCAGTGCGCAGCTACGTGCAATGCGGTCAGGTAGTCCACCGTCACCTCGTCGACGGGAGCGCGGTGGTACAACAAGATCCTCGCGGCGTCGACGTGATCCCCTTGAGAAGCCATGTGCAACGGCGCAAGACCATTCTGTCAACGGAAACCGAGCGCGGTGAGCGACGACGATCTCGGCGCGAGAGACCGGCTCTGTTTGACCGCGCTCTTTACCTTCGTTTTCGAGCCGATCGGCGCCCCTTTCTCGATCAGTATGTCCACTACCTCGTGATGCCCGGATCTGGCCGCGCAGTGCAACGGAGTCAGGCCGTCTCTCGTTTTCGCCTCGATGTTCGCACCCTTGCTCATCAGGAGATTCACCATCTTGATCTTGCCCCATTTCGCCGCCACGTGCATCGGTGTGATATTGTGCTGCAGTTACGTGCGTGTATATATATATATTATATGTATATCACGCTATTATTATACAATAACATAACATACAATATTCATGATATTCTTCAATGCAAACGCAGTAACTATTGAATATTTATAATACATACGTTATTAAACATCGAGTATCTCCCGGGTATAAAAATAGGAGAACGATTTATGTAACAGAAGTTATATCGAGATACGTTACTTCATGAATATTACAGGACTTCTTCGTCTTCTCATTTGGCTGTCGATAAAACATTCTTCGAAAACCAGAGCCACTATTTCATCCCGTTATATCCGCATTTAGGACGCATTAATTTGGGATCCCTCTTAAAATACTTGGGATCATTACCGAAATATTCGATACCTCAGTATCGGAATTTTTAGCATTCCGATATTGCAGATATCAGACTCACGAGAAAGAAAATCGTTATGATCGCAAGCGTGACGCTAAGCGTAACAATAAACGGAGATTCAAGGAAACGTAAATCTCGGCGAACGTCGGAGGCTCCGCGGAAATCTCAAGTCGCGTTTCCGCGCCTTGAAAAGTCACCCACCTTCGCCGCGAAATTCACATCCGCGCCTCTGTCGTAAAGCAGGGAGGCGATTCGGTCGTTGCCATAATGCGCCGCAATGTGAAGCGGCGTGAAGCCGCTCTTCGACGTTACATCGGGATTATGGTCGTTCTGTAACGAAGGCAAGCGAGAAATTGGTGGAATTGCGGTTACGCCAGCGGAGCTAATTCTCTCTTATTATTGTTAGTGCCCCGCGATCTCTCTCGACCGGCCGGTCTAAAATACGCGGACGGTCGCGCTTCGCGACGACTCACTTGCAAAAGTAGAGCGGCCGCTTTGCAGTCGTCTTTCTTCGCGGCGATGTGTAGAGCGGGCAGTCGAACTTTACCGCGAGTGTCGTTTTCTAGCAGAACGGCTACCACCTTGTCGTGACCCTGTTGCATAGCCACCGCCAACGGAGTAAAACCGTCCTGCACAAAGGAGAAACATGAGCGCCGCCGCCGCCGCGCAAAACTGGTATGCCGAACGTTGGATTTAATTAACGTGAATAGCAGATCGTCGGATTAATAACCAAAAGTGTTAGGTCGGACGACAAAAAACGTCGATATATCTGCGCGGAGAGAAAAGATCGGTTGAATTGACGCGACAATGGACGAACCAAACGTGCTCTGATTGAAGGGAACGGAACTTATTATTATTATTATTATTGAATAAATAACAATAAAGTATATCATATTGGATCAGCAGCGAGATATGTACTCAAACGGCGGGGCGACAGCTCATTATTGATTTTATGTCCAAGCCTAACGTAGATGAACGAAACAATGTTATTGTAGAGCGGTAATATGTTTAACAACAGCAACACGAAAAGATCAAAAGTGTCTTCGCCGAGCGTGCCGATAAGGGAAACGAGTTTAGTTGTTTCACAGCAATATATGTCGAAAAGTACGAAAAGATTCAGTGGTTAGGTAGAATTTGGAGAGAAACAGAATGACGGAACAATGTCAGCACAAACCTCGGTGGCCAATGTCTGATTCGCACCCTTGCTGAGGAGATACTTGACCACGGAGTCGTGATTTTCCTGGGCAGCCATGTACAGCGGCGTGAATCCATTTTGCGATTGTGCATTCACGGAGGCTCCTCGTTGCACCAACAATTGTACAACCTCCTCTTGTCCAGCTGAAAGAGAGGCAGAGACATCGGTGTCAGGTGAATTTTTTATCATGAGGCAGAGAGAGAGAGAGAGAAGGGGGGGGATACAGAGACAGAGACGTTCCCGAGAGACGAAATTTACGACGATGAGAGACTTAAGCAAGAGACCCGCTCGAGTCTTATGAAATAAATGTTTGTTTAAAATCGCTCCCGTCCTTGTCCCCTATACATTTAATGAGCAACGTGCTGGCACACACACGCCCGCACACGAGAGTGGACACGGATGAGAAGAGAGTCGACGGGAGAACGTCGAGTCAAACCACTCACCAAGAGAAGCTATGTGCAATGCTGTGTTTCCCTTTTTAGTAGCGGCGTCTACGATCGCGCCGCGATTTAGGAGCTCCCTCACGATCTCCAAGTGGCCGTCTTTAGCTGCCAAGTGCAAAGCGTTTAAGCCATTCTGCAAGACACATGTACGCACTCTTTACATGTAGCCAATATTTCTATGAAGAATAGATAATGCCACTGAACGTGACTTGGATTTCATCTTTTTCTCGGTGCGTGTTATTATGCTATAACTGGTGTCACGAATTTTCACTTTCTGTAAGCTAAATGTTAGAAATTAATATTTTTGTCATAAATATTAATTAATAAAATGGCTGTTTAGAAATTAATAATTAATATTTGGAAATTAACCTTTCAAAGCCCGGTGTACATAATAATAATAATAATAATGTACACTAACTTTGGGCCCTCTCCAAATTTTGTCTATTGGTGAAGTAATGATTCGATAAAATATTATCAATCTATTCTAAATGAGACTGGATTATCCGTTTTAACTCGTGAAATACTGTTTTCCCAACTGAAGATATTTGCGTGTGTAAAGTCGTCGACGCTAGAATTTACGTCAAATCATTCGTGGAAAAACGTAAAAGTATATTGTATTTATGAAAATTTCACTCGATGTTCTCCAACAATTATAAATTACAAACAAGCGAAAAATAAATATTTTTTTGAAGTAAAACAATTTTAATATTTTCTCATTTTTATATCTAAACGTCCGATGTACATAATCATGCACATTCGTATGGAAAATCGTACTTCTCGGCGGTCAATTTTATTCGAACAACAAAATTTGCATCGGGAATATCCTTCAAAATGATCTTATAAATCAATATTTTACTTCAACAGGATCGATATTTAAGCCTTAAAGAGTTGATGCTAGAAAAATTAATGAAACAATTCATAACTTAGAGGAAAGAAACCAAGAGAACGGGGGACAGGTCGGCGACTCACAGCGTTAGAAGCGTTGATATCCACTCCGGACTCTAAGTACTCCAGGACCTTCTCGAGTTGTCCAGCGCGAGCCGCCCGCAGGAACGCGGTGCTGGGGTCGCTCTGAAACACAACAACAAAAACAAATTCGTTTCGTTATTTAACTGAAGAGAACGAAGCATCCGGGTAAAACCGGGAGGGAATTCAGCGAGTTTACAATATTCAATGAAAGCATCCTTTCGGAGAGAGAGAGAGAGAGAGGGAGAGAGAGCAGATATTTTCCCATTTGCTTACTCCTGACACGCATCACGCGTGATTACACACACCCATGCACAAACGTTTTACAAATTGTTTTACAAACGTTCGTTTCGTGCAACACATCGTCCGCCCATGTGCCCGCCCGTCCCACCTCCTCCTCCCATCGGTCGTGTTCGATGTAATCGAAACCAATTCCGGAAAATGGAGGTGGAGCTCCGTTTATTCCGACCGGCTCGGATCGCATCGCCGATGAGTAATTAACCGCGGACTTAGAGCGTGAGGCGCCGCGCGGTCTGCAACGACAGCACATATAGAGGTGACAGAAGTCCAACTCTCTCTCTCTCTCTCTCGTTCTCACGGCTCGTCAGGCACCCACACCCTCGGAGTTCGACCCCTCCTCTCTTTCTCTCTCTCTTTCTCTCCTCCTTTCTCGACCCCGCGTTCGATCCTTCGCTCGGGACCACCGAGTGGATACACCCGAGCGCGGACGTCCTGCGCGACCCGCAACTGGTTCTACGAGTGCCCGGAACCGCCCGATGACCCTCCTTGACCACGACTGACTTCCCTCGCCGGTCCCAAACGATCGTCATCTAAAACGCCATTCCGAACTTTCGTTCATATTTCACATTCGATCGGTGCCGACGCGAAAGTTGTAACGTTATTATCATTTCTTCCTTTTTTTTTATTTTTAAGCGTCCGCATCTAAGTGGGAGAATTCGTTGTCTGGCTAATTCCCAGAAGATGAATTTTCCCGTCGGTGACTCATCGATCGAAAATGCGTCGCGATCTTTCTGCGATCCACTGGCTATCTACTTTCGTGATCACGCATCTCTCGAATTAATGCTGTTGGTAAATTAATGGCATTGAATTAATACACTGGTATTTGCGACCATAATTGCGCGGGTAAAATAATTCTAAATAAAGGGGAGAGCAAGGCCATTAAGCATAAGAGACGGATTGTTTAGTGCTATCGATGAAAAAAATCTTTCTTCACATTATCTCTATTTATTCATTTGAGAAGACAATATTAAAGTTATATTATAGTCTAAGACTACATGACCATGTATATAGATATATGATTTTAATACAGTTTCTTTGTATGAATAAAACGTTAAATATAACATAAAATATTTTTTTGGTTAATGACAGTAAAAAATACATACTCTGGCCTTTAATGGTCTTACCCTTCCCCTCGCCTCCGTTTCTTATAGATTTGACATAAGACAAAAAGCTTTATAACTATCATTTTTTCGAAATAATTACTCAGTAATTATTCAACAATTAATCAGAAAAATCATTTCTCCAATAAATGTGTCTTGGAATCTTGGCGGTAACAATCTCATGCGCGCATCAGTCCTACAGTTTCGTTAGAATAACAGGTAACGCGATTGATGACGTAGAAAAAGACCACAATATCAGCGAGATTAAGCATTTTTCCTTTTCCTCTCAATGCATCGTAGTGGACTCTCTCTTTCTCCATTCGCGCACCTTGGTTGTGCCGTACATACGCACGCAACTGGGAGACGTAACGTAAGCGAAGCTATAGCGTGGCTCGGCCGTCGTGGGTGGTTTTGCCGAGAGACGTAACGTTTTATCGTCATGCGCTCGAAGCACGAGCTCTGACGATAAATCGATAGTCAGCAGGCTCCACGGCGCTCTTGCTACGCCTGTGGAGGTAGTAGCACGCGGCGTTTTTCAGCATCTTCTTCGTCGACATAACTCGCACGTGTATGATTCACCGTCTTAACGCTGACCGCCAATCGTGCGCGAGTTGATCCTTATTAGACTTTGAAAACCACGCATTTCGTCACGGTACACAGAGAAAAATATTATTGCACCGCGAAAAAAGGCGATTACTCGACTCATTTCTTCTTCTTTTAAGTAATAAACAAAGAGTATTTTCTTGATAGCGTTATTAAAATATACTCACATCACAGAGATTAGAAAAATTCATCATCATTTGCCCAAGGGAAGAATTTGTTGTTTTTTTTTCTCAAGAATATTATAAAGCTCTATCGAAGAAAAGTTTAATTCCGCTAATTGAAATAAGTAAGCCGAAGTTTTAGCTTTGGCGTTTTAATTTCATGTTCTTGAGTGAAGTACTAAACTTACTAGGATAGAGAATATACATATTTTGAATAAATATTATGCTCATGATGAACTCGGATAATATATTTGCGGATGTACATAAGCTTATGAAATATTAAAACAAGTAATATTTTATTCGATAAAAACAAGTAATATTTACTTGAACGCAATATTTTTCTTTGTGTATACGCAGTAATATATCTTGACCTGAAATTTTGCAATTCTTGCGACATGTAGGAGTCAATAAACGATAAAATCTGGAAGCAGAAATTATACTTCCTGCCGAGAACCACACACTGGAAGAACAAGGTGTTACATTTAAGTAAATATATGCCAAGGAGCTATTGGAGTAACTATTTTACTCGGATCAAGTAAATATTGCTTAAACGTAGCACTTTCCTCCTTTCAGTGTGCAGCATACTAATAATATTTGCTCAATTCAAGTAAAATAATTAACTGCAATACTCCTTAGCAAATATTTACTTGCGGATGTAGCACTTCTTTCCTTCGATGTATCGTAAGCTTAAGTCAGGCCTGCAGCTAATTTGTACTTTTCCATGGATTTTGCCGACTGCTATCTCCATTCCTCTCGTTTCATGGCGTTCTAAGTTTCTCTTTAAGACGAGTTATTTATTATATGCTTCTGGGAATAATTTTCTCAAGCGCAAAGGAGAGAGAGAGAGAGAGAGAGAGAGAGAGAGAGAGAGAGAGAGAGAGAGAGAGATAGAAAGAGAACGCGTCTCTCGGTGTCGAGTTGCGTCCGTTTCATCAGCAGGATCCCGTTTCGCTTATCCCGCGAGCGATTTATTCGCGGGATACCGTTGATACGATCAGCCGGAAATCAGAGACGCGAACGGGAACAACGGAACTTCGCCGCATCGTCATCGTACTTGATCAACTCTCTCACTCTTTCTGTCTCTTTTCCTATTAACGACTCGTTTGCGCATAGCGCAGCGCATTCCGCATGACCGGGACGAAGGAGCGGTCGGACGAGCGATTCCCGATCGTATTCGCAACTTTGCGTCGCGAAGATACAAAGCAGCGCGCGGACTCGATTCGCCAGGCTCGATCGCGACGTGTCGCATCGACCGCCGAGGTCGGCGTCGCCGTGACATTTTTCTGAACGGTCAACACACACACACACACACATAGGCGTGATATCGCATAAATAAACCTCGCGGCTGCGTGCGTCGTCCTCGGATTGTGTATTGCGAAACGTACACGTTATGCACGCGTACTTCGATACACGGGAGAAGAGAAAACGCTTCCGAGGGATAAATCGCGCGACACAATACTCGCTCGCATGTATTTTGCAAAATTTCCCGACAGCAAACCGTCTGGCGGAATGGGGAAAATGGGGCACACGAGTGAGCGGGAACAGTCTTTTTCTTTGTCTTTTTCCCTTCGAGTTTCACGCGGTTCGATCTCCCGTTGAATCGCTCTATAAATAAGGCTGTTCCAAGGGAGGGAGAAAGTCCGAGTCGGGGAGCAACTTCGTCACTTTGCAGTAATTAAAAGAAAAGGAGAAACGTTGAAAGCGTTATACTGTTATGATCCACTTTTCTCGGTGACGACTCGGTACAATTAACGGCGCTCATTTCTGTCCCTTTTTTCGGTAGCGACGGTGACGGTAATGCAATTATATGTCGGGGTAACACGCTAATGAGTTACTTACCGAAACGAGTAACGGAAATGGAATCATCGATTACTTCAATGAACCAACTGAAAAGTTTTAATCACCGACGAGCTGTACGATAAATAAATGCAATCCGCGATGTGTACGTATTCGCTACCTCGCTTCGTTAACTCCATATCGGCTAGATTTAATTTGTTTCACGCAGTCGGTCGCACGTTTTATGCGCCAATTAACGAGATGATGCTGCCATATTATAGCGCCGGTGGACCGTCGTAGCAACGTGTTGAAAAACTCAAGGTCTATTCGGGCGGACTTACACAGTCGCATAACGCAGAAGGAATTCGATTAATCATGCGTCTAATATGGAAGACATCCTTTTTCCGCACGGATCACGATCAGTTGATTACCTCACGCATATGCGACATGCGATAATGCAAGTTTGTCCGGATAGGCTTCAACCTGTCCGATTCTGAAAAAAATCATACATACCAAACGCACCTCGTGGAGTTACACGAAGAAAGACCGATGACAGATCGAATGCGACTATATTCGTGACGGGTACGTCGCGAAACTATCGACAGCTGATTCAGAAAATGTTTATATCGAACGTTCCATTAAAATATCTCAGAAATGGAAACCACACGCTGAGGGAAAAAATAGAAAAATCGGAGGGAAAAATCATTTGCCGGCGCGGCGAATTTTACGCTGTTGCAGCGAAATCTCTCTTACTACGTGGATAGCAAAACGATTAAGAGTACCAATTGCCACTCGCAAGTCACTATTCCGATGAAATTACAAATCACTTTGCCGTAAGAACCAAGCTGTTGGTAGAAGAAAACATTGGTTCGTTCGAACAGCGAATTAACGTGTCCCAAGGACGAATTCACCGAGCCGAATTTTTCTATTCCGGTATAATAGAACTGCTTCGACCGACTGCTCCCCCCTCCCCTTCCTCTCCCCACGTACTTGCCGAATAAATATTTCTCACATTCAAATATCCTCCTCTCAGTGCACAATCGATAGATACGGCGGTATTTCTCTCTATTACGTTTCCGCCGTCACCGTCGCGGAATTGTCGCTACCAGCGATACTTATGATAAGTACACATCGCGCGAGTAACGCTAATTGCATCGTCGCCTGC